AGCCAACTACAGTAGTTACATGATCTGACTGGTAGTAGCAGTTTTAGCCAACTACAGTAGTTACATGATCTGACTGGTAGTAAGAATGGTATGCTGTTTTTGATCATTTTGCAACTTTTACTTAGTACACACTACCATCATGTTGCTGACAACATTCCCATTTGTTTTATAGATTTATTCTTCTGTTTTATTTTACAAAAAAATATCAAAAGTGGAAATGCATTTTTAATTCTGTGGTAATTATTGCTACATGTTCAAAAGAGCTTTTAACAAATAAGTGGTATAGGTTTTGACACTAACATTTCACACAGTCTTTAATGAATATTAACTAAGTCTGTGTGCTTACAGTCATTGCAGGTGTCTCACCGTTTGTAAGAACGTTTAACAACTAAGTGGTACAAGTGTTGACACTGACATTGCAGGCAATCTTTAATGGATCTTATGTGAGACTATGTATTTACAATCATTGCAGGTGTCTCACTTATTTGAACTATTCATTTTCTGTACCTGGTGGTATTTTGCTAGTCAAAAATCGGTCAACAAAAGATTCTTTGACTATACAAGGAGAAGTATCTACTATAGAAAACCTAGTCTATGTGTAATTTACAACTTAGATTGTTTATAATAGCTGGAGACGGCTTGAATGGGTAATGCAGAAAAACTTTAATATAAGATTAACATAACAGCAAATGTACAATGTTTCAACGAGGTTGTACATTTGCTGTTATGTTAAACTTATATTAAAGTTTTTCTTCATTACCCATTCAAGCCGTCTCCAGCCATTATTAGTCTCAAAGTGGGTTCCTTGTCATCGAATTAGATTGCTTATAGTTTACCAATAATAGAATTAACTAATTCACGGTGAATAAAATTGGTTTTAGGATGAAATTAAAACACGCATTTGAATGTTAAAATGATTTCTTATAACCCACAATTATTTTATTAAAAATTGAAGTATTTGAATACTGGACATCCTTCAATAAAAATGTCCAATGTTTTGTGCTGTTAGATATTACAAACAGTATTATTAATTTTAGTTGAAATAATTTATTGATGAAACAGGACAAAGCCAACTAAATTGTTATATATTAAAAAAGTATTATTGGTATTTTTATAAACATTTTGCACCAATATCATTGTATTTCCATAACAGGAAATTTTAAGTTCCATCAACCAGCCATACTATCCTTCTGAAAGTTTATTCTCAACTACATGGTTACCATGGTGGTTTTCTCAGTTCACAAAATATCAGTGTAGGTGTCTACATAATTGAGTTTATTCTCAACTAGATTGTTATTACCATGGTGGTTCTCTTAGTTCACAAAATATCAGTGTAGGTGGCTACATAATTGAGTTTATTCTCAACTAGATGGTTATTACCATGGTGGATCTTTCAGTTCACAAAATATCAGTGTAGGTGGCTACATAATTGAGTTTATTCTCAACTAGACAGTTATTACCATGGTGGTTCTTTCAGTTCACAAAATATCAGTGTAGGTGGCTACATAACTGAGTTTATTCTCAACTAGATGGTTATTATCATGGTGGTTCTCTCATTTCTCAGGATATTAATGTAAATGGTTACAGAGCTGAACTTATTTTAAACTTGATGACTATCATGGTGGTTCTCTCATTTCACACAAATATTAGCAAAATGGTTACAGAGGCAGTTTTATTTTGATTCTGTGGAAGATAAACCATACAAAATTGTTATTTCATGTCATACTGATCTCTTAGAACAATTTATTATACATTAAAACTATGTGATAATAATCAGGCAGATTCATGCCATTAAATGGTGTCATCCTAAGAAATAATATCACACAAATCATCATATAAACAAGCTAGCTTTCCATATGACACATGTACAAAATAATAACCTTACCTTACCATCAGTATTCTAGTTATAAGCACCAAAAACTGGTTGTTCTAGGTCTAATTCCTTTAAAATGTGTTGTGAGGTGCCAGAATAAAACGTAAACTGCCTTTATTTGTCAGAATTACAAATTGCCTACTGAAAAAATTAGCAATATTTGAGATAATTTTAGATATATCTAAAAAGCATATGTAAAGAGTCTGGAGTCATTATGTGCTCTTTTATCATTTTACTGGTTCAACAGTTCTTCTACCACAACTCAGGGTCACTTCTTACAGATATAGTTTTTCTCTCTCTCAGTGATGTTATTTCCTATAGGTAATTTTGTTACTTCACATATTTTTTAAATAAAAATAATTTATTAATTCAAAGTAATTGATAGGAATACCTAAGAAATTTATGTAGCCCTAGTTGAATTCTACAACTCAGCTTCTAGAACAAGCAGTGTAACACTTACCTGTGCTTAAAATAAAGGCTAACAAAAGACAGATAATATAAACAACTCGCTTGCTGACGAAAATTTGATTAAGACGTTGTAATTTTTTAATCGAACACCTACTTTTATCTTACAACAGTTTAATTGAACATACAAACATGCCGAATTATTTCTGCCCCAGTACAAATAAAACAACCGAACTAGCTAAATTCTCCGAGAAGATAAAAAAAGACACTAAAAACTTAACTTCCAAATACAGTTGTTTGTAGATACATTCATTCTGTTCTGAGTGAATTTTCAGATATCATGTACATCATATTTTTGTTTATAAAAGTAATACAAGCAAACGCTTTCATAATTCTAGTATTCCTAGACAAAATGATAATTAGTACATCATTTTCAACAAGAAAACTTGTACTATCTCCCCATGTCTAAAAATTAAGTCCATAGTTAAGTTAACAATACCTACTATTCTGTCTAGTGTACATATCATTAATATCTTTATTATTGTTTCAGTTACTTACTTAATGACACTTTCAACCATTTTAATGAAATATTATGTAAGTGGCATATGTAAGCATATAACTAATAATAAAAACAAAACTGAAGAAATTAATTTTTTATTCAAAGAGAATTCAACATCACAGCATTGCTCACAATTAGATTATATTCTTAAATTACAGTTACAATAAAACTAAAGTTTAAATCTTTGTAAGAGAAATTATACGAACTTATAATTTTAAGACACATAACAGTTTCCAACTGAAATGTTATATTTTCTAACTTTGATCTGTTTAACGGAAGCGACCTTCGTTATGAACCTAAACTTTTATGGCGTCTCACTTGCTACTGCATATTTGTGTAAGTAAACTGTCTTCAATATTCCTCTGTACATTATAATGATAATTTTAGAAAAGCTATTTTCATTTTCACAAAGTAAGTCATTAGTAGTTTCTTTCTTTATTTTTTTATATTAAATATCAAGTTTCACGAATAATATTTCACTATTTGCCATTCTTAAAAAATAGCATTAAGTTTTGAAAATAAAAATCACACACAGTTGTACAATAATGCACATTTTATTTGTTTTTCATTTACACTTATGTACAAAATATCTTGCTACACAGATCCTAAGACCCAAAAACTAAAACCCAAAATTCAAGGTACTAAATAGTTGATCCTAACAAATTTAAATTTCTCATTAGATAAGCAATATAATAAAAGAGAAGTTCTAAAAATAAACTGACATTTGTAAAACTATAAAAAACAGTTATTTTTCCAAAGATTAATCAGGTTTAGCACCATCCTGGTAGAACAAGCAGTATTACAAGGAAGGAAAAGAAGGTATGAAAAAAGAAAAACAAAATCATAACCATTCACTACTCAACGACAAGCTAAAAATTACATATTGTTTTTACAGCTAGTAACAGGTTTTAGGGATGATTAGATGAATAATTTAACTAAAATTCATACACGTTGAAAATGTAACTTTTGGCATTTAACACATCAGTATAAACTTAGTTTTATAAGTTTTAAGTAATCAGGCATGTACTGAAACAAACTGTCAAGTCTTTTTCATAAAATTTATATAGCTATTCAAATCTGTTCATATTTGGTCTATTTTGATCATTTTAGCATTGGAACTAGTTCATAACCAAAAGATAATCAAATATACTGTATGTGTTGATCCTAACAACTTACAATGCTTATTAAACCCAATTTTGGCTACAAGATGGCACTTTATATTTTCACCATAAATTTAGATGTTTATTATGTAATTACTGGGAATGTCAAAATATGTGCAAATTAACAATATTAGTTCATGGCCAGAACCAACTCTAACAAACTAGTTTCATCTCTGATGGCATATTTGATGCAGAAATGATGGATAATACATCGGTTGATGATGATTAAAATGATGATTTTAGTGTGTTGACAACTTTATAATATCAAACAAATAAAAATCAAGGTCTATTTACTTCAAAATAACAATTTTCTTTACAGGACTTGTATTTTCAGTGATTTGACATGTGTTTAATTAAAAGAGAGATAGTGTGTGTGTGTGTGTGTGTGTGTGTGTGTGTGTGTGTATATGTATATAAACTTTGGAAACAGCTGGGTAAGTAAATATTCCATCTTATCCTCTCTCCTTTCCTACAGTACAGATATATTCAAAATATAAACAATTGCTTCAACTGTTTATAATCTGAATCAAAATTACTTTCATACAGGAGACATTGAAATTATGTTCCTACCTAAAGCTCAAACTTGCTGTTCTAACAAAAGTAGAGAGTATTTATTAATAAACAGTTCAAAGTGGTGGAACATATTTATAAATACACTTGTTCTTTTAACTGCTTACATGTAAAGAAAGATTAAAGTTATTGGTTCATCCAGTCTGTACATTTCAAACTATTATTTCACACAAGACAAACTAACTGCATGTGTTTGACATATACACCACACTTTTCATGGGTTTACTCTACTACCTAATATAGTGATCTGCAATCCCTTGTTCTTCAGCAAAACTGTTATTGTGTTTTTCATCTAATTGCAAAAAAATATAGTATCCTTTATACTCCCTGTAAAATGCCCTTTATGTTTGTAGAGCTGCTACAACAAATAGTTTATACAAGTTGTATCTTGGTTGAACCTTGTCAAAAATTCTATTTTTATATTCCAAAATCTCAATACATGCTATGTTACCATACTCATAAGCTAATAAAAACAAAAAGGGGAGGGAAAAAACTTTCAAGTGTCAGCGAGCAAGCTGAGTGATAAGAGCTCCACACATCTCAAAAAATTCCATAGTATGATGACACTGATTAAAGATGGTGGAATCAATAGAGCTAGCCACTGAATCTGCAAAAATCAGCACATACTTATAATGTTTCATTTCAACTGAAAATCTTGACAATGTTAATCAATGTCATCTATTACAAAACTGAAATACATTCATTGTAAATAAAACATAATAATCTTATTTTTACATTTTCAAACCACAATTATGACACTTAATATTGGTATAGAAAATTATAAAACTTTACATATTTTAAAACCACTTTCATTTATTTATCTGCATTCACTGATTTGACTTACTTAGTCACTATTATAAACCCAGTATTAAGATGGATTACTCTTTCACTAACTATTTAGGTGATACAAACATTAACAAAACAATTATTCATTACCAGAAGTATTATTATATAAACATCTATATGTATTCTACTTTCCATTTATATTCTGTCATATGATACAAAATCAATACCTAAAACAAAAAAGGGGGTTACAGACTGTATATGGAGAAGCTACAAAACTAGTACTTAACCCTTTCGAGACAGGTCACAGGTGAATCGCCATGTCATCTCATTTGTTGACGAGC